GAACTAGTCAAAAGCTATCAAATATCATCTCAATAATTTTTTGATAAGCAATATTTTCTTTTTAGGTTTTAAAGTTGGTCAATTTTTATTTGATGGGTGTACTATAGAATTCTTGGTTCCTTGATATTTGTTTACGAGATAACACATCATCAATCATTACTGAGGCTTTCCCCCTAATTTTTCAATTCCATTTTTTTTTGTTATACACTGCATATTAGAGAGAAACATTTTTTTTTTTTTTAATTTGATGTTGCAAGTCTCTCATTTCTGATAGTACTGAACTATTTATCTTGTACCAGAATTTTATTGCAAATAGTTAAATTTTGAATGCTACAGCCCCCGGAGAAAAGAATGGCAATGGGAACGTCTTCTCTAGAGCAAAAAACTCGCTGCAATTTTATTTACAAGACTTGTGCTATTAATGATACAGAGAATTTAATTTATACAGCTAATATATAATGATAAGGTTCAGATACTCAAAAAGAATTATGAATTTAGAAATATGTTAGATTGGACCTTGGACAATTATATTTGAACTGGTATTATTAATAAAATGGGTATAGTTGGCTTTTTTATTGAGAAACTGGCATGGAAAAAGAGGGTAGAGCTAAAGAACTGTATTAGTATGTAAAAGTTGGAGTAGTAAAAATAAATAGTGAGAAATTTCAGGGTATCTTTATGTAAAATGGGGTATTTCAAATTGATAAAAAAAATTAATTAGATCATAAATTTGATCCGGCAGCCTTTTTGGATCAGGTATTATGCCGATCAGTGTTAATAATAGCTTTAGGTTCAATCAATAACAAACAGTACTAAAATGATTATTAGTTAAACCGATAACCGATTACTATTAATTGGATTTATAGAATACAATTTGTCAATTTGAAATCAGATTGATGTTATATGAATGAACCGAATACTTTTCTGCATTCGATATAATATTTGAAACAATTAAGATCAATTAATTTACAGGCTTATATTATTTGATTATAATATGAACCAGTAAATAAATAGTAATAGAATGTGTAACATTATAAATAGCAATCACTCTTTTTGATAAACTTTTTATTTATTTTGGATCTTTTAATTATTGTTACAATTACTAGCTATTATTTATACAACCTTACTTGTTAATATTAATTGCTTCTATTGGGAGACCCAAGTTGGGGATCGAATATTGTGTATTTCTTATTAATATTAATTATTTTAATTTACTTCAATTAGCTGGTTACCTTTTGCTTCTTTTAAAAGCTTAATTGGTGATACGCGAATGAACCAGTGACGATCCGCATTTTTTGTAATACTAATACAATCAAAGCTCGTTAAATCATAAATTTTTTTCAGGAACCAATGCCAGTTACAGTATATTAAAATTCTATTCTATAATTTCATAATTATAATAAGACTCGATAATCGATAAGTCGTAACTCTCTTATTTTTATTATATGCCATCATATAAAAAAATCTCACATGTATTGTGTAACAATCAAAATATGGTAGTAAATTCATTTTTTTCCCTTGTTAATACTAACCATTGCAAAAAATGGATTCAAGCTTTTAGATTAAGCGTAGAAATACAGATGATAGCTTTTGGCTAACAATAATTGGAAATTTTATGAAAATTTTATCAAAGATCTTTATCTTTTTATAGAAAAACTTTGCTGTGTCAGATCTATGAATTTGACGAGCTTTGGGGCAAAAATTACCAATGGTCAACCTTTACACAAAAAATTGTATTATGTCACAGGATGATATTACTTTATGTATGAATAAAGTTATAAAAGTTGATCTCAAAAGATAATACTATCTAAAAAATTACCATAGTTTGTATGATGAATAAATACTTTTCTATGTGGGAAATACAGGTTTGGGGGTCTCTCACGAATCGGCAATTAAGTTACTACTTTGAGGCTTATCTTGACCAAATTTTTCAAGAACAAACACGAATTCCTCATATTCAAAAAAGAATACAACAATATGATAAGGAACTAAGTGCACCTGATGATGCGTCTGATTGGACAAGAGCAGGTTGTAACGGTTCTTTAGCTAATGTAGTTAACGAGGCTATTAAAAAACATGAAAAACTTCAATTGGTAACATCTGATAAAAGAAGTAATTCCAAAGAAGGTTCTAAAAAAATTCTGGTGAGAGTTTTGAAGGTAAAGGAGAATATGATGAAAAAAAAGTGAACATTAATAAATAGAATTTGGTTTTTTAAATTTTAAAATCATTTTGAAAATAAACTAATTTGCAATTATTATAAATTAGAAATGAATAAAATAAATTTGCATTCAATATAAATTTAAAAATCGAATAAAATGCAAATGGATACATGAGGCTTTTCGATAGAAACAAGGACAACGTTGAAAATATTGGGAAAAATTGAATTTCGTTATTGTTTTCTCTACGCAAAGTGAGATCTAACCCAGAAACGTTCCATATAAAGAGTTACATATAAGGGTGGTATTAACTCAAAATCATGATTTTTGACAAAGGTCTCATATATGACTCATAGTTAGGATTGTCTTTGAACCACCTACAGTCCTAAATTTACCGGCCCTTATTATAGGATCAGCGGAACTTTCTTAATAAGGAAATTTTGATTGTAAAATATAAATAAATTTCGCACAACAGTTAATATTAATTAATATAAATATTCGATAAAACGGATTTATCGAGTGCCGTCTAATCATATGTTGGACATGCAACTTGGCATCTTTCGTTTTAATATCCGTGCATTAATGCCATTTTTCTTTATTTAATAATATTTTATACCCATATTTTTATTTATTTTTTATTTCTTTCTTAATGATTTATTTAAATTAGTGGAACAAAAATAATTAAATTCGTTGTTATTGGTACGGTGCATGCCACAATAACCCATCAAATACTGCGTAAAATGTTTCAAATTCACAAATATTTTTGAATTTTTTTATATTACTTTCATTACAAAATTGATGTCAAAAAAATTTGAGGTAACATGACACGATTAAAGATATCGATCATAATAAAAATATTATTAATTCATCTATTTCATCTATCACATTGTCTGGAATCCTTCTATGTGACTTATATTTTTTTACAATATATTCAGCCTGTAGTACTGTTAATCCTTTTCCATAACAATACATAAATCTTGAGGCTCTCATCACATACTTTCTAATTTTGTTTCAGTGATATAGAATCAAAAGCATTGCATTCTCTTGAAGACCTTTCCATATGTAAATACAATGTTGTCTAACATATCATTTAGAAGCCTCCAAATAAATTTCAATGTAGTTAAGCTTACAGTGAAATTTTGGATAGAAAATGACTTTATGTCCTCTTTCTTCAATTAATTCTTGAAGTAAGGGTTTTTGGTTTTTAAAATCATCTTGAGTTGCTAAGATATGTCTAGCACAACAAATCAAAGGTCCTTCAAGAGAAACTTTAAACAAAAAAAATTTGAATGGAATTATTTTATATTCATAAATCCAATGCAATTATTATTATCAAGATTTATTGACTTAAAAAAAAAAAAAACGCGTGAAATTTTTTGTTTTTTTTTTCTTTAATTACATGTTTCAAATTTGGAAAATTTTATATATAACATATAAAAATTACATGATTTTCAAAAGCTTATAACTCCTGAACCAATAATTATTTTTTAATTGTCTCGACTATAGATTGTAGAACTAGTCAAAAGCTATCAAATATCGTCTCAATAATTTTTTGATAAGCACACTATATTTTATTTTTAGGTTTTAAAGTTGGTCAATTTTTATTTGATGGGTTATTGTGGTGTGCACTATACCATAAAGCATGCTTACAGCTTCGCCGAAGCTTTCTTTCTAGGTGCGGAGGGTAATTGTAAAATAAATATGTTGACAAGCATTGTACATAAATGCTTGCAATCAAATCGACGAATGTAGCCAAAAAGTTAACTCGAACTCGACCATAAAATGTAAAATAATCGAGATTGACCAAGAATCTACCTCGAAATATGTAAATCACATCAAAATACTATTGAGTTAGTCGTTAAACAATCTTTAACCAGTCCCAAAAGACCAGACAGACCCGACCGGACCAACCCTACTCATGGTAACCAAAATACTGATGATTTTAAATATCTAAATGATATTCAATTAATTAGTTAAAGTCAACCATGTATTCATTATAGCATACTGACCGTTTGAAAATAGAATAAGGAGTCGGTTTATTACCAAATGAAAATATTTAATTAATTAAGTTATACAAAGTTAACAGGTTAGACTTTGAAATCGCTGTTCGATTAATGTCAATTAATTACCGAATGACGCCGTAATTCGACACCAATCAGCGTGTTACAACTACCTATCTATTATATAAATAAATATCAATCGGTTAGCTATTAGGTCAAAATTGGATAGCTGATTCTAATTCGTTCTACAAGAGTAACGTAAAGAAAATTTATCCCAGTATCTATTTAACAGGAAGATTCATTAAAAGGATTAACTGTTAATATTAAAAAATTTACGCGTTATGCCTGAAGTAGGTAGAATATTAAGAATTTTAGGACAAGAGCGAGTAGATACATATCAATATATTTAAATAATCTTTATTTATTATAAAAAAGATTTTTTTAACATGTTTAATATGACCAAATAAATAGTTTGAAATAAATAAAAAATCGAAGCAAGGAATCAAAACATGCGTCTTTGTTTTCTTTGCCTTGCTGGATCAAAGAAAAAAAATTACAGTAACAATAAGCTTTGGTCTTTGTGTGCTTAAACAAATTTACAAATACTTTGAAAAAGAGAAGGATTAAAGAATCGTTGGATCCATAACTCTTGTTTCCGCTGTTCAATTTAACCAAAAAAAAATGATACATTATTTAGGAAAAGACTATCATCGTAACGAAATAATAACAACAACAACAGCAACCTTGTACGACCAACTGCATTAATATTTCCAAATTTGAAAATTTTGAAATTTCATTTTTTTTTTTTTTTAATATTAAAAAAGTAGCTAAATCATAAACCATGTCAAGTTTATATAGTTTATCTAAACTTGAACAACTCCCAATTGAATTATTGGAATTAATATTTATATTTTCACGTAATCCATTATTCACGCAAGTTTCAAAGAAATTCAATCAACTTTTCAAACCAACACTTAGTTTAAAGGTCCGTTGGTTAATGAATATTAGTAATGAAAATTATTTGAAAGCATTATATAGAGGAGTTAGATTCAAATTTTTTGATAAAGAATTATTATTTCGTTTAGATACATTACATCTACAACAATATTTAAAGAATCATAATATAATAGAAACCAAATTACCACCAACTATCATACCATACACAGAACGAGCAATTCCATATAGGTTTTTTTCATCACCAGATCCTGAAGGAAAATTGATAGAATTAACAAAAATATTATTAGATAGAAAAGCATCACCAGATGAACCTGATGGTTACCCAATCATAAAGTCTGCAGCTGCAGGTAAAGAAGATATGATAAGGCTGTTGTTGGAATATGGTGCAAACCCAAATATTAAATCAGGCACAGCTATTACCATATGTGTAAAATATAATAGACTCTCAATCATAAAACTTTTGATTGAAAAAGGTGGAAAACCAAAGTCTAAAGATGTCAAAGTAGCTATTAAAGATGGAAATTGGTATTTGGCTGAATATTTGGCAAGAAATGGAGCAGAAATTTCACTAGATACAAGAAAAGCAATAAGTGAAAGGAGATCAGATATAAAATAGATTTATATATTTTATTTTTATTAACATTATACTTGTATTAATTTATATATTTATATTAATATGCTTTTTAATTATTACATTGGAATAAAGAAAAGTAATTTTCTTTTTTTATTTATTTTAATACTATTGATTTTGATTCTGATTTTTTGGTTTTTGGTTTTTTGCTATTACAATCTAATATAACTTTAGTTGCACCATCCCATGATTGTCTTCCCAACAAACGATACTAATAATTAATTGATAAAATAAAAATATCATTAATAAAATATAAAAAATTTTTTATTTAAAAAAAAAAAAACAAACTTACTTGAGCTGAAATAGGTATTCCAAAAACTACTTTCCACCAAACTTTCAAACCAAACTTCCAAATAATTTTCATATGAGTTGGCATACAATCCAATTGTTTTGCAAGGTCATCACAATATATCAATGTGTCACATTCAATTGTGTGTCTTCCAGACAAATTGAATTCTTTTTTGATTTTAGCAAGATTTCTACAGACATCCTTATTCATTACTTCAGCACTTGGTAGTGGTGGAACATTACCATTAATTAGTGCAGTTATATAACGGGCTTGTAATTCCCTAATACATATACATGTATACATTTTTAGTGTGTTTTTTAATATATAATATATACATTTTTGCAAATAATACATATTAAACTTACCCAATGGGAAACAAGGCACCATTAGCTTGCATTAGACTGATGAATGCAATGTTTGGTATGTTTGGTGGAAACATGTCTTTATACAACCAAACCAAATTAGTTCTAAATTCTTCCTCAAACAGCTCCTCAATTTCCTTACCACCAGTAAGGATCTCTTTGTCTAAAAATGGAAATCTATAATCATAACCAGTACAATAGACTATTGCATCAACATTCTCAACAATCGAGCCATCATTAAACAGCACTGAATTGTCATCTTTAATCTTGATTATATTTGGTTTGACAAACAATGTTCCAGTTTTAAGTCGTTCAAAAAGATCTGATTTTACAGTAGGATGATTACTGAATGGATGTGTTTCTGGCTTTAGGCCATCTGGGTATGAACCAAACGATATGTAAAATATTAATTTAAATAATATATCTTTAACAAAGTCTGGCAAGATAACCATATTGAATCTAGATAATAAATGATCAACTGGTTCACCAGATACAAATCTAGGCAAAATCCATGGTAGTGTACCTTTTTCATTATTATAATAATAATCATAATATTAATGGTAATGAAACTGAATGTTATTGTTGTTGTGCAAATTTTTTTTAATCAATTGATTACCTCTACGTGAAACAAGATAAACTTCAGATGCTGACTGTGATAATTCTACTGAAATATCCATCCCACTATAATAAATTATAAACATTTAAAATATATTAGCAAATGTTAACTAAATAACTAACTAATAAATTCATGTCATTATCATCAATTTTTAATTTACCTATTACCAACACCAACAACTATAACACGTTTATTTGCAAATTCTTCAGGTCTAATAGATTTGATATGCAAAAAAAGTTTTATTACATCTAATGCAAATATATATTCATGCTATCAGGGTCGGTAAATGTGTGGGTACATTGGGTCAATTAGTGTAACATATTTAGTATTTTATTAATGGCATGGACCAGTCAATTTGCCAACCCTGATATGTACTATCTCTTTTTCATTAGAAAACTTACGATCTATAAAAATGTGAATGCATTTGTTTTCCTTTGAAAACATCCATTCCTTCAAACTTTGGTAATCTTGGGTATCGATGATGACCAATACAAACCAACACAAAATCAAACTCTTCTGATTTTTCTCCTGTTTCATTATTGATATGACTCACTGACCATCGTTTATCAGGTAAAATTGAGGCATGAGTAACAGTTGTATTAAATTTAATATATTGCTTCAAATTGAAGTGATCTGCATATAAATCAAAATATCTTAAAAGATTTTATATTAGTATTAATGTTAGCATTGGTTTTTGTTATTTTAATGAGTAAAAACAATTAAATCTAAAAAATAATTGATTGGTTACTTTTTTACAAATCTTCCATGCATATATGTAGGCCAATCATTTGGAATAGGAAAATCGGAATAAGACATCTAACATAAATCACCAAAAAAAAAAAAGTCAATCCTTTATTCCAAATCAGATAATCAAACAATCAAACAATCAAAGTCATATACAGTTTCTTTACTGGTGTTGATGATTGTACTTCGACAGATTGATGAATGTGGATCTTTGTTTTCTTCAGTAACCTCAGTATAATTCCACAAACCACCAATGTCATCAGTTGCTTCAAAACAAACTGGTTCAAGGTCATCAGCCAGGCACTGTTTGATGGATGTAAGGCCAGATGATCCTTTTGAAAAAAGAAATTTAAAAAATTTAAAGATAATGGTGATTATTACAGTGAAAAAAGATCAATTATAACGAATTAAGGTTATACTAATTATTGATCCTATTACCTGCGCCTATAATTGCAACTCTTTTCTTTGACATTAGTATGAATTAGTTCACGCAAGTCACTCTCTTTAATCATGAAAAAACAGTTGATTTATATTTATTTTATCGCTAAACATGGTTTTAATTATAATTATAATAGTTTTAACAAATTTGGTCCACGATTCATATGTGCGATATTTTCATTTATGTAAGATTTTCAGTAGATCTAGTATACATAGGTCCCTCGATAAAGTGGGTTTTGGCCAACTCAGCCAAAATTTTTCAGCCCTTTTTTTCAATATTTAAAATCCCTTGATAAGTCAGTCAACCCTCTTTTTAGGATAAGAAATTGTTCTCGATAAGTCGGCCTCACGTGACATTTTCATTAAATAAAAGATCATCATTATTACGTATGATTTTTTTTTCTTAGAATTTTATATCATACGTTATATCTGATGATTTAGAAATTCTTGTCGCGATATTTTATTGTTTCATTTTTATCGCCTGATAATTTAGAAAGAATATTATTGTTTTATTGAACATAGATAAAAATCCTTTTATGGATAGATCGGCGTTACACGCATTTAATAGACATTTCAATGTAGAAGAATATTGTAAAATCGAAAAAGTACCACTTAGAAAAGTGGTGCTGCACAAACTATATAACACCACCTCAAAATTTGCACAAATGTTCTGTTATTTTTGTTCTTTCCTGAGCGGAATTGGATTTTTATTCATAATATCCAAATTTGTGATGATCCACATTTTAACTTTAACGTGTAACATAAAAAATAAAACTAATATATAGATAATTCAAGCAATAACATTTCTAACTATCATTTATCATTAATAAAATGAATAAAGGTGTAAGCCGAAAAAATTTTTGGTCCTTGTATAGTATATGGTAATCAAGATATATATTATATAAACTCTAGTAACTTCAACAGTTTGATGTGTTCTAAAAACCTCCAAAATATCAAGGGCATCAATTTGCGAGTTTACCTTGAATACAGACTGCAATGCAAAAGGCTTTTAACAAAACATAAATCAATGTGTCAATTTGCATGAATAACTTTTTCAAAATGACCACAAACCTTTTTATTTTGAAGTCTTTCTTGGGCACTTTCATAACTTTTATCAACTTTTAACTGCTTTCAGAACTTTGTAATAGTGTTAGATTGTTTCTTGAACAAATGAATGGAAAAAGAATAGTTATTTCATATTACATTATACTAATAGTTTTTTTAAAGAGTTTTTAGTACTTTTTTGTACGAGGAACGGCACCCCATTGCCAGGAATCCTTAGAAGGACGGCACTTCTATAGGATTGTCTGCAAGATACAGTGCGGATCATCTATACTCAAGAGTTAAAATTTTTTGAAATATTATGTGATCCACACATTGGATTTTAAAAAACCCACACCATTCAATTCAGCTTTAAAAGGAGAGTCTATTAATCTAAAAAAAAAATTTGTCTCAAATTTTCTTTTTCATAGTAATAGATTTTTTAAATTTGAAAGTTATGCTCAGAAGTTGCAACAATAATTTTCGTGTCACACTATTTTGAATCTCACGACCAAATTTGGTAATGATTTTCTTTTAATGTAATATGTTCGTTAAACTTTTTTGTTGTAAAGAACTTTTATTTTATTAATAAAAAAAAGGAAATAAATAAGTCAAATAAGTCAAATGTATGTTGTAGAAAATATTCTATGAAAAAAAACTTGTTACACGAAATTTACTTAGTCTCAATTTCTTAAGTGTATAACAAAATTCTGAATTTTCAAAATGCTAAGGTTCAGCCAATTTTCAGTTTAAGAAAAAACCAGCTGATAAGTTTTGGAGGATTGAGTCATGAACAATAAAACTTATTAGTTAAATTTTTAAAATGATATAATTTTTTTTTGTTTTAGTATTTTGAAGTTGACCAATTGTTACTATAAGTAAATATATGGGGGACAACTGAATGTTACACATATATTAATCAATTTCAAAACTGTCGCCCAGGGACAATGATTTTCTGCATAGCGCAGAACGCTGCAGAAATCACGGAATGTGTGTTTAAACATGGAAAATACTATAATGTACTGCAGAATACCATAATATAAAAATGTAATTTAATAAGTATAACATGATAATCAAAAAATTATTTTTTATGATGAATAATAGAAGGAGAGGTACAAGAAAAACAATTACAATCAATACTAGAGTAAAAGAAAATCCTGGTGAATTTCGCATTGACAATGGAATTTTATTTTGTAATTTTTGTGACCATTCTGTTGATTGGATACAAAAGTCAACGGTTGATGACCACCTTAATAGTAAAACACATAAAGCTAAGAAAAACCTGTATGAAAATAAACAATGTCAACTTCAACAAACACTTGTTACCTCTCTTTCTTCTTCTGAGTCTAAAAAAATTATAATTCACGATTTAATTGAAGCCTTTGCTATAGAGATATCCCTTTAGAAAAAGTTGATTCGTTACTTAATTTTTTTAGAAAACATTGTAAAGAAGGTGGTGCTATCCCACAAGCAGCAACATTACATCAACTGTATG